ATCATGCACTTGCAATGTCTCCTGCCATGCAATGTCATACACTACCACAGGACTTTGCCAATTAGAAGGTCATCACCACATATGGTTCTAGACCTTGAATCATCAAGGTGAGCCAAAATAAACCTCTTTTCTTTGTAACTTAACCAGTCTGAGATACTGTGTTACTGGCAAGAAGAAATGGAATAATAAACTGCCTTTTAGGGAAAACACTGACATCATATCTAGAACAAGTTGTTACTGAGACTAATTAATGCTAGGATTAAGTAGCACAGATTAGTAACAATCCTCTAGGACAGTGGTTCTCAAACTTTCCTATGCACTAGAATCTCCAGGAGGGTTTGTTAGAGCACATCTCTGGCCCCATTCCCAGAGTCTCTGACTAAGAAAGTTTGAAGTTGGGTTGAGAATCTACATTTCTTAATAGGTTCTCAGGTGATGTTGCCCAAAGACCGCTACTCTCCTACATTTCCTGATTGTTTGGTTTCTGCTATTATGAGTTTGCAGAAGGTATTCCTCAGAGAAGGAGAAAAAGAAAACCTTACATTTGTGTGTATTCTGTGGGCAGGGAAGAGTCATGCATATTTTAACAGTGCTATGAATGTAGAGTAGTATCCTTTTTAAAAAAGTAATGAAATAAGAAATTTAAGTCATTTGTTTTATGGCCATGTGGGACAGATCTGGAATTAGAGCCCAGGTCTGTATAACTTCAAAGTTCCACCTTTTTCCACCCACCACACTGTCTGAAACTGTCAAGTGGGCTGGAATGCCATCATAATGTCTAACACACACACACACACACACACACACACACACACACTTGGCTTGAAATGCATGTCATGGAGATAAAATACACTTCACATACACAGAAAATGGTCTTGGGAAGAAAGGTAAAAATGAATAGTTTTTCTACTGCATATATGTCATTGTTTGTGAAAATGCATTCACTATAAAATTAGTGTGTCAAGGTTCTACAATCTGAGGTACAGGATCTCAGGATAAATCCTGAGAGGATTTCACTGACCTTCTCAGACCCAAAAGCTACAACTCTTGTTGCATAGGTCCTGCTTTACCTTGGTCTTAACCATCCAGCAGAAAAGTATGAAGACGAAATATAGGAAGTAAAGCCATGCTGTTATGTTGAGCTGTGGGGGACTCAGGTCAATAATTTCTGACACTGCCAGTGAAGCGGAAGACCCAATGCTATTATGGGCTACTGGACTCTTTTAGAATGTTTTGCTGAGTTTACACACCTATAATATTCAATAAGGGAACTTAGAAAAAATGGGGTATACCGATGAATGTCCCTTTTGTATCTGTGTATTCAAAGTGGTTAGGATAGATATATAGTTACATTCTATTAATGAATAGAATGATTTGTTCTAACGGTGTTTGTAAATAGGATCTCAAGTCCGCATCTTGTACAGCAATTAACCACTGAAGAATGGTTAATTGTATGCAATGTGTTAATTATTGAAACTGTCCTACCGATTTGATTTGAAACTGTCTCATTGCTATTTGTTTATCAATAGAATTATGGAAAAAAATAAATATACGTTTGTCACATAAGAGTTACAAAAAAATAAACTAGTCACGAAAAAGAGAAAAAAAATAAAATTAGTGTGTCAATTTCTAATAATATGCTTTCCATGGAGATTGCCAGAAGCCATGTGCTGGAAGGAAGCATATTTGGATTAAAAGGAGAAGTAATGATAGATGAGAAAGAGCTAACTTCCCAAAAAACATTTGAAATATCCAAAAGGTCAATTTAAGAACTTTGTAGTTTTGAGAAATGTTTCCAATATTATCATTTGTTTTCTTCCTTAAAGTGCATTACAATGGATGAATCTTAAAAATATTTTGTGAAAATAGTCGATCTCATGTTATTTCATAAAAACAATGTATAATATATATATATATATATATATATATATATATATATTCCAGATTCTGCAGTTATGTAGAGTAGATTAATGGCTACTCAGGGCTTGAGGGGCTAGTGTTACAGGAGGATGATAGGCAATGAATGTGGGTTTTTAAAAATGTATTTGGTACAGGGCTCAGTATGCAGCTTGGGCTCCTAATGATCCTCCTGTCTGAGCCTCCCCAGTGCTGGGATTACAGGTGTGCACCACAGTGCCGAAGGCTCCATAGCTGGCTCTGTGTACCTGGGGGTGGGGCCAGTGTGGTCTGTGGCGCTGGGCGATCAATCCCCAGTCCCTGTGCTCGCCTAAGCAGGTGCTTAGTCTGCTGCACTATCTCACCGGCCCAAGAATGTGTTTTGAGGTGATGAGAATATTGTTAAATTAGACCGTGATGATGGCTGCACAACTCTGGAGATATACTAAGAGCAGTACTGCAGCACTGAGGGGTGCATGAGGTAATTAATGTAACAGTCTTCTCAAAAGCGCCAAGTCCACCCCGACTGCAGAGGCCACCCGCGGTTACACACTAGATTTCGAGAAATGTAAGATGATGACCTTTCCAGGGTGTGTCTTAAACCAGCTGAACAAAGGGAAGGAGAACAAGAGTGAAGGAAATAATTGCTCCAGTCCTGTTCTTTTCAATAAGCCTTTGCTTCTTCCCTATATCTGATCAACTCAACATACTTATGGCAAAGACTATAACAAGCTCTGCAGATTCAAGAGCCAAGATATAGTCCCTGCCTTGGAGGAGTTGTTAATCTAATGGGGGAGGACAGCTCATTTTGCATGTAATGACCACACCCTGTCAGATCTGCCTATCTTGTGTGTTCAGCTTGGGTTGCAAGGCATATTTTTAGAAAATCTAACCTCTAAAGGTCTAAATGTATGTGTTCAAAATTCGTGTTGAAAGTTAAGCCCAATATGATAGTGTTAAGAAGTGTGGCCTCTGGGAAGTGATTATGTAATGGGAGCTATGCCATCACAAATGGGTTTAAAGTCCTTATATTAGAGACTCAAGGGAGTTTGCTAACCTCTTACCCCATGTGAAGACACAGAAAGAAGGTACCACCTAAGAAATGGAGACCCCTCACCAGACAGAATTGGCTACTATCTTGTTCTTGGACCCTGAGCTTCTAGAATGATGAGCAGTAAACTCCTGTCGTTTATAATTTACACCCCAAAATGTTTTATGAAAGTAGCCTAGGAGGCAGTGGGATAGCTCAGCTGTCTAAAGTGCCTGTTTGGGCACACTCAGGCAGGCACAGGGGACCGAGGTTTGATTCCCTGTACCACATGCCTGGCCAGCCCCACCCTCAAGGCAGGCTGAGCCAGCCAAAAAAATAAAAAAATAAAGTAGCCTAAGTGGACTGCGACATCAATTTAACACAACTACCAGAATTTAAACATACACAGACATTTTATTTAATATACTTAATATTGCACAAAAATTAAAATATTGACAATACATATACATTATCCAAATCACCATGATTTTCCTGGATTGACAGCTATGTTTCTAAATGAGGCCTTATAAACATATCTAATATAAAAATGTCTTCAGTTAATACATTACATCATATTCTCACTGGCAAAACATGGCAGGTTACATGGCAGGAATAAACAAATATAAACAAATACTCATATGAAACTTCTCTTAATTGTGGCTTTTTGGACTAAACCTGAATACACAGTGATGGTCAGCTCTGATGTGAAGTGATTCAATTTCCAGGTAAAAATATGCTGTTTAAGAAAAAACAGATCTACGTGGTTTTGGATTAATAAGTTGATAAAATACTTTATCGCCCTGAATATTTGGTTTAAATAAACTGTGTGTCACACTATTTTATTTTTGTAATACACAAGGTCACATAATATAGTGGGGAAGGAGCCCTGGATTCTCCTCCAGACTCTGTAACACAATATCCAAGTCATCCAGATAAATCATACTCTCACTGGGCTCATTTTTCTTATTTAAAAAGAAAAACAGGAGCTTCTGGAGGGAAAGGACAAGGTTTGTTTAAGTGATCTAAGAAATCCTTTGTAGTAAAATTCAATTAGGGTGAGTAAAGGCCATTGAAATTGAAAATGTAGCTCTGCACAGTGAACCACTGTGCTATTTTACTATTGAACCAAGAATTTTAACATTGATGCCCCCCAATCTCCACAAAAAAGCAGTACTCTCTCTGAAACCATGTGTACTTGTACCACTAGGAATTCATACTGGAGCATTTGTAGCATCTGGAATTTAAGGACGCCCATTTCTAATTCCTCCCAACACTATAATTTGGCAATTTATAACACAGTTCCATTTGACAGCAAAATCATTTTATTACTATTTTTGTGCTTTTCAAGAATTACTTTTAACTGCAGACCTTGCAAGTGCTGAAGGTACTCAAAGTAACAGATGATCACATTCTATCCTTCCTTGCACCCCATACTCCATGAAGTAAAACTGTCAGGAATACAATTTATTTTAGATGTCCTCAAAAGGCTTACCTAAAAGGCTACTGCAGGGTTTTATTAGAAAAACAGAAAAATCATTTCTATATGAAAATAAAACACACAGAAGCCTCCAAACTGGCAAGACAGAACAGTTGTATTATGTGTTCAGTTATTTAAGAGCAGGATACAGGGGATCCATAGGGGCTTTTCTAATTTTTCAGCACTGGGGTAGTTTTAGTCATTTTTGCACTGGGCATTTCTTACAGAAATAACTTCATGAGGAGGGGCCCTACTAACTGCAGCTCTGCTGACCTGTGCAATCTTACTACCCATTATCTCTTTATGGCACTGAGGCGGCAACAGCAGCCAGTAATTAGATCATAGCGAGGAAAATCAGAGAAAACTAGAGCAAATTATATATATATATATATATATTTTAATATTTATTTATTTATTTATGTGTGTGTGTGTGTGTGTGTGTGTGTGTGTGTGGCCAGCTCAGGCCACCAGGGGGCGGGGCTGGCTGGCATGTGGTGCTGGGGGATTGAACCGCGGTCCCTGTGCTTTAGCTAAGCTTGTTCTAAGTAGGTGCTTTAGACCACTGAGTCATCTCACCAGCCCGCAAATTATATTTTTAAAGGATGTGGTCATTCCAAGACAGAAAATTCAAGTTGGCTACAATTTCCTAGAGCATACGGCACAGGGCTGGGTTGGGCTGGGTACAAGAACAGGAAAGAACTCAGCTGGGTTGGGAGAGCTGTAGGGGGAACAAAGTTCCAAATGCATACTGTGAAACAAAGCAGCCTGGGGGCCAAGGCCTGCTTAGGAAGAAGGGTGTAGCGGAGGCCCGGTGTCTGCATGGGCGATTCCAGGTGAGGGGCGTGTTCCCCAGCGCCTCTGTGGGGAGCCTGATTCGACTGGGCGTGTCTCTTGCCAGCGTCTCCTTTTCACTGAGTGGCCTCCTGGGTGTCAGCTTGCAAAGTCACTGCTTCATCCTGCTTGCTCCGAGCGAATTAGGGTCTCTTCAAAGCAGAAGGACGAGCCAAGGACTTCTTTCTCAGGCACAGGGGCATCAAGAGATCGACACTCCTCTAGCCCAGCGGGACAACTTTTCTTGAACACTGCCTGGCTGAGGGTCTGCACGGACTAGCGCCAACAAAGGTCATTTGCTCCCTTACATTTGCTCCCTTACTCTCAACTCGTTCCAGGGACCCCCCTGGTGATTGGCAGTCAGTCGGGTCTCAGAGCCAGGCCCTTGGCCTGGGCCACTTCCTCCCCGACCCGGGTCTTTGGTTCGCAGCCAAGCAGTCGGGGCGCGGGGCGGGGCGCGTCCCGGAGGCCTAGGCGGCGCGCTATTCCTGTCGCTGTGAGCTACTGGCATGTTATGTGCAGCGCCCAATCAAGTCTCCAACAAGCCGCACTAACCCGCGCCCTCCCTCCGTTCCTAATCCCCCAAGCTTTGATTTGATCCCCTGCGTGGAACAAGCTCACCCCTCCTGCCCCATAGTCACTTTGTCCCCGGCTCTCACGGGTGCTCAGAGAACCGTCCTGCTTGTCCACCCCCAGAAGAGCAGAGCCCTCTTCCCACACTCCTGACGTCTGGAGTCAGGGCCGCATCTGCACGTTTGGGCCGTCGGAGATCCAGCATCCACGCTGTCCACCGGCAGCTCGGGCTTTCCAGGTGATGGTGCGCGGCCACCGCCGCCCCTGGCGCGAAGGTGCGGGCTCCCCAAACTGGGACGGGGAGGGGGCTTTGGGCAACGCGCTGGCAGTTTCCGCAGCGGCTGAAACCAAGCTCAGCAACTCCCAGACGACTTCACATTCCGCAGCCTCTGCTACTAGGGGCTTTTGGCAACCATTCTCGGATCGGATTTTCTCCGAGTGGGGCACGGTGCGACTGGTGGATCCAGGTGAAGGTGCCCTGGGTTTTAAGTTGAGCAGGCAAAAATGGGGCTCTACTAGGGGCTCTGCAGAGCACGCAAGGGTCTTGCAGACTCCGAGTCCCGGGATGCCTCAGTTTGCGCCCAGCTGGATCCATTTCCCGCCTGGCTGTTTCCCGCCCTGGGCATCATGAGTTATTTCCTGTCTTACTGCAAAGCTCACAGCGGAGCGCTGCTCACCGGCTACCAGACCCTGCGCGCTGAGGGCTTCTTGTGCGATGTGACCCTGGAGGCTGAGGGCAGCGAGTTCCCGGCACACAAGTCGCTCCTGGCATGCTCCAGTGACTACTTCAGAGCTCTGTTCAAGAGTCACACACAGGAATCCCGGGCGCGCGTGATCCACCTGCACGTGCCATCGGCGGCTGGCTTACAGCGCCTGCTGGACTTCATCTACACGGCCTGGCTGCCGCTCTCCATGGACACTGTGGAGGACACTCTGGAGGCTGCTAGCTATCTGCAAGTCACTGATGCCCTGGGTCTGTGTGGCCGCTACCTGGAGCGCCAACTGGCCCTAGAAAATTGCTGTTTCACGGCTAATGTGGCAGCTCGCTTCGGCCTGGCGCAAACGCTGGGTGTGGCTGAGCGCTGCTTGGTGCACCACCTCCGGGATCTACTATGGCTGGGTGTAGGCCCTGCTGGGCTACTGGAACTCAATCCAGCATCCCTGAGGGCCGTGTTGGGGGCCTCCGATGTGGCATGCGTGCCCGAGGCTCAGCTTCTGGGCTTGGCACTGGCCTGGCTGCGGCAGGAGCCCACAGTCGAACGCCAGGAGCACAGCTCAACGCTGTTAGAATGCATCCGCTTCGGCCTCGTGCCTGCCAATGTGCTGCGGCGCGTATACTCCGGCTCTGGCCTTGTGCTGCCTCCCCGCGTCAAGGGCCTCATTATCCAGGCCCTAAACTACCACACGGCACCCTCCCGCCAGCCGCTTGTGCAGAGTGTACAAACCAGCATCCGAAATCCCCAGACACGCATCTTGTTGGTTGGGGGACGCAGGGCCCAGGAAGCTGTGACTGAAGAGGTCTTGGCTCCTCGAGTGGCAGCCAGGGACAGGGGCGCCATGGCTGAGCCAGAGGAGGAGGAAGAGGAAGAGGATGAAGAAACAGAAGTGGAGGAAGAAAAGGACTGGGAGCTCACCCAGGATGTGGTGGCCTTCGACGTATACAATCACCGCTGGCACAGCCTTACACAGCTGCCAACACCTCTGTTGGGACACAGCGTGTGTACTATGGGCAACTTCTTATTTGTGCTGGGTGGGGAAACCCCTTTGGGCAGTGCCTCTACTCCCCAGGCCAATGAGCCACGGGTGGTGACAGCTCAAGTGCACCGTTACGACCCGCGCTTCCACGTGTGGACAGCAGTGCCTGCCATGAGAGAAGCGCGAGCCTACTTCTGGTGCGGCGTGGTGGGCGACAATCTCTTAGCCGTTGGAGGCCTGGGCATAGGCGGCGAGGCCCTGGCCTCGGCTGAGATGTACGACCTACGCAGGGACCGCTGGACTGCAGCCACGGAGCTGCCAAGAGCCTTGCATGGTCATGCTGGGGCCGTTGGGGACCGCGGCATTGTGTACATCTCTGGGGGCAAGGCAGGGAGAGGTGAGGGTGGAGCCAGTAGCCTCCGTGACTTGTATGCCCTCGGCCCTGGGGAGCAGGCATGGCACAAAAGGGCACCTATGAGCACGGCCCGCTTTGGGCACCACCTAGCAGTGCTGCGGGGCGCCGTGTTTGCCTTTCTGGGTAGATACGAGCCCTTCTCTGAGATTGAGCGCTATGACCCTGACACAGACCAGTGGACTCGGTTGCGGCCCCTACCCTATGACCGCTTCTGTTATGGGCTGGCCGTGGTGGAGGACACTGTGCTCCTTTTGGGTGGCCTCAAGTGGCGGGACTCACGCCAGGTACCCACCCGTAACGTGGTGGGCTATGACCTCGACCTAGACCGCTGGGAGGACATCAGCTGTGTTCTGCCCTGGGCCTGGGATGGTCTGCAGTGCGCGGTGCTGCAGCTGGCTGAGAGTGAGGACGAGAGGGGGGAAGAGGCTGGCAAGGTGTTAGACTTGGTTTTAGGCTGAATGGCCTCATCCAGTCTCTGGAGGACATGGGAGGCAGTCCTGTCTGACTGGGTTTAGAGAGCAACAGAAGGGCTTTTTCTAAGTGTGGGATTCTGGTAGCAAAAGGGCGTCTGGAGGCTCAAAAGGCAAATGAGGCCTTGGCCAAAGACAAACAGTTCCTCTTGAGCTGAGAATGGGAGACAGGAGAGGTCACACAGAAAGATTTACGAGTCAGCTTCAGCAAGCTAGTGATTTTTACAGACGCACACTGGGCTCAACACTCACCTTTCAGAAATAAAATATGACCTTATTTCCCCTCTTAAGAAATGTTTCCCTAGATGCCAATTAGTGATTACTTTTGTGCACCCCCTAAAAGCCAAAAAGTAACATTTCCTCAAACTTCAGAAAATTACTGTTTATAGTCTGTGTAACAAACAGTACTAGAAGACGGCATTGCCCAAATAAAGAAGGGAAAACTGCCTTGGTTAAACAGTAGGAAGTATCTGTGAGAACAATAATTATATGATTCAGAGATAAAGAGTAATATGGAACTAAAGAAAAAAAATCCGACTCCCCCTAAAGCACTTTCTTTTTTGACAAGATAACCTTGCTTAAATTTTGTCCCACTCCTAGTCTGTTTTTGTGCTGGCTTTAGGCAACTCTGGTTTAAAGTCATACTTCAGGAGCCACAGTAAGCTATATTTGTAAAAAACAAAACAAAACAAAACATATTTTTGGTGGTCCCCTCCTACCACTTCTGTGAAAGAATCACAGAGAAGGGGAAGAAGAGATGATGTTTCAAATTTGTGTCAGGTATGTGAGAAACAAGCATGATTTTTCAAGGTCTCAGAGAGGATACTTGTAAGCTCTGAGCAGGTGCTGCTTCTGGCTTGTTTTGCCAGTGAAATGGCAATGGTAGAACCCATAACTGGAGTGATGCTAGTATTTGGATTACATCACAGAGAAATGTAGTAAGGACTTTGCGTGAATAAAGCAGGTGCTTTATAAGGGTGCGTTAAGAGCTGAATTTATTTGACTTTAATTTACAGTGCTGCCTCTCTCCTAGATTTGAAACTAATGAAATAAATTGTACAGATATATAGTGTTAAAAGGCGTCTTTCATGCTAGGCTAGCCACGAGTCTTGTAAAATTCGTTAGTTTAATTTTGACTATTTCAAACAACAGAGCTGACTTTGCAAAGGTAGAAGCTGCTTAGTAGCAACACGCTAGTCTTCCCATCAAAGGCCTGCTGTTCACAGGCTGCAACCTGGCCACTATATACACGACACATCCATCAGGTACAAATATTTGTAAGTGAACATACACAGTTGGTCTAGTAAACATCAATAAGTCTAAACACCTGTAACTAGCACACTTCAATTTAGGACAAGAGGTTTTTGTTTTGTTTTGCTTTACATATACAAAATCCCACAAATTTAATGTGCGTTAATATCCATGCAGTAAATAAACGTTTTTACAAATAGTTCTTTTAAATGATAAAAATATTACACTGGACCCAAAATTCCATACAAACAATAATACATGATTTCTCATCCATTTTGACTAAATATAGGATTACTGGAAATGTGCTGTAGAAAGGCCACTCCTGTACAGTTGTGCAAAGTCTGCAAAACGATAGTGATTCAATGGTGGTTTCAAAAGCAAAGAAAAAGATCCCCGCTGTGGAGTTTTACTTTCTCCTCTACAGCAAAAATATTCACTGGCATATATCTGAACTCTTAAAGATGTAAGTACATTCACTGAGCTGTACAGGCAACAGTATAAAGCTGATTAGAAGATTTTTAGGATATAGAATAGTAAAGGAGGATTCCTTCCTCCTAACAAAACAGCAAATTGTGACTTGTACGTTATGCAGCCAGACACTAAAAAGCAGCACAGTCATTTTCATGCTGTGATCACTTTCAAAATACGAGATGCTTATAAATGGAAATATATGAAGAGGACTTTTCATAGACTTCATCCACTCTATAGAACAACTCATGATGCTAGGAAAAACTTCTAAATTGTTTCTGTCATATAATTCAATGTGACACCTTAGTGACCACTGCCCTTGTGCTCCTTAGAAGTACATCGTTTGCAACATTGTTTTCTACAACACACATATGCCTGTAACTAAATGTATTGTACTTCCCTGCCTGAAGTATAGTTATGAAAGTTTAGCAGACTAGGGGAAAAATTGGAAACTGCCTGGAAAGTTGATTCATTTCAGTTTATACCTTGTTGTCTTTTAAGAGTTAAGAGTTCAAAAACATGAGTTTGGGCTGAATATATATATATATATGACTGTTAGCTGCCTTTCTGGGTGAGTTAAATCTGTTTTAAAAAAGCCATTCTTAAATTCTTCTGTACACAATCAGCATTTCATCACTACAAAAATAAAGGAAGATTTAAACCAAGAAAATAAAGCAGTTCTATCTTCAATTTGGTCTTAGTTACAAAAACATCTTACAAACTTTGCCCTGATACACCATTAAGTGTTCTCAAAGATTTGGAATAGTATTTCCATTAACCAGCGTTCACAAGTTAATAGACTATTAAGACGAATATTAGATACCTGAACTTTTCTTATGTTGATGCTCTTCTATTTTGCTTTACTCTTATATGCGTACCTACATTTCACAAAAATAAAACTACAGCATTAAAGTTTGTGCAATGCTTAAGAAAACTCTTAGAACATTTTAATAAATATAAAAAAGGTTTAAATTCTTTCCCACCCATAAGGATATCTGTACCTGAAAAAATGTGATTTACTTTTGAAGTCTTATTTATACAAAATTAAAGGGAGAAAAGATGACCATAGGTAGAAAACTGCCTTTTTGTGGTTTTACTACTTGAAGACCACCTGTATTCAGAATTGTTTGTAAAAGTTAATTTTAAATCATTAAAGATAGTTGATTTTGAGCATGGTAAACACAAGCTGAGCACTGACTGCATATAAAATATACAAATGCTCCTTAAAGAGAGTGGTTTTATGATCATATATGGTTGGTTTCATATAGTTTGGTAACATCAAAGTATGACTTGTCAAATGTCTCACACACTTATATAAAAACTAGCTTAAATATCTGTTCAGAGTACTAGCAGGTATTAATGGCCTGTGTGCAGAATCCACTTACACATGTGTTTCAATGTATGAATGAGTGTGTGTTAGAGAGGAAGTGATTACATCTACTTCAGAAGAAATACTTAGTGGGTCATTTGAGGTGGTATTTTGACAGATATCCAAGAAAAGGTCGAGGTACATCTGCTTCCACTGTTGGAATTCTTTAGATGTCAAGTCTGGATTATCTAGGACCTTATCAATAATGGCTACTTCCCCTTCTCTGGCCTGAAAAGCAAAACGATTAAACAGTTAGGATGGGAACAAGGTTTGATTGAGGTTTAAAATAAAAAGATAATAGGCAAAAGATTCTGAAGCCCATAAGAAATGGCTTTGGTATGATCACATTCAGCTATTTAGACTCAAGCCTTCCTGTGCTTTACTCTAACTCAGAGGCTTACACTGTACTGCCCAGATGATGTGTCTTAGTTTTCCTCTTGACCTGTTCCATTGCCCATCTCTGCCCATGTAAACCTTCCTCATGCTTTAAGATCCAGTTCAAAAGTCTCTCACTTCATCATACCTTCCTCCAACACTTGAAAAAAAGTTTTCTCCTTCATTGATGCCCCTAAAACTTCTTGTCCCTGCCACTGAGTGGACTTACCACATCTTATCTCTTGAGTTACCCTGGCACTGTCTTCTTTCTCCTGTATGAGCAACTGTTCATGTTTGCCTCTGTGCTAGCCAGAGTTGGCAAAGAAAGAGAACAGCAAAGTGCCTAAGAAGTAGTTCTGATCTCTGAGGCAAGACAGGGTATGGAATAGGGTTACGTGGGAATGAGAATGGTAGGAGTTGCCTGTGGTGGGACTGAAGACCTTTGCTTGTTGAGGGTGGCTTATACAATTCATGGAACAAGAAACACCCAGGGTTGCTTGGTCAGCTGTTCTTCAATAATCTATTAACTTTCTGTGTCCCAAATTACTTAATTTTTAGTGGGAAGGGCCACTTCTCTATAATGACTATTTTGTTTGCCTCCTTGACATATATATATATATATATATATATATATATATATATTTTGTGGAACCAGTGATTGAACTCAGGCCCTTGCACTTGTCAGGCAAGCACTTATTCTACTGAGCCGTGTCTCCAACCCCACTCACCTATATTTTAAAACTACAAAACTTTAGCAACATGTTGTGGAGTTGAAATAGTTTTCCATAGAGCCCTTTGGTATTTTGCTCTATGAAAGATATTCTAGCTGATAGGTTTTTCCTGTTTTTGGTTTTCAAGAGTTCAGCACCTGCTCCCGCAGTGGGTGTTGCAGGCCCTCTCCACCATCCTGCTTGTCCCTCCCCACGTACACTCACGGTGAAGGCTGCTCATTTGCTGCCTCCTTCAACTTCCTGTCTCTTTGTTCCTCTGTCCTTACCACCTCCTTCCCAATCTGGAGGTGGCATAAATATGAAGACCACAAACAATGTGAGCACTTACAGAAATGAATAATAGGAAAGTAACAAGTGATTTGGGAACTGATAGTATAAACAGAACAGTTATACAATTTCTAAATGAAGCATGCATCACTGTGGTTTTATTCCAAATGTGTTGTAGTTCATGCAGGAAATACTAACAAAATACTGTATTTCAAACCCTTTTAACATCTACTCTTGCATTCTGCATGCATGCTGTGTTCTTTTAATAACTGTAAGAAGTATACTAACATGGCTATTTATCTTAAAAAAGCAAAAGACTGAGAAATAACACCAGCTCTATATTTTTGGAAACAACATTTAATCAGATTTTGTTTTCTTCTAGAACAAGTCAAATAGTACTTAGGTGGTGTTTTGAGACATTAAGTGAAAAATTAACAAGATTTTCTGTTTACCAGTACACTTATGCTATAGGAACAACTTAGCTTCAAGTTCTTTCTGTTACCTTTTCTTCCTATTTTGTATTATCCCATAATATCTGATAATACAGTTTCAGTTCAAGAAGGAATTTCTGCATTGCATAGCTTACCTTTAAGGTGCTTTTGAGAATTCTCAGCCTGTGTAGTTTTTCATTCATTACAGGATCATTACATCGTTTTATAAATGATAGCTTGTATTCCATTTTGGTTGAAATGCGATGTTCTCCTATTGGTGACAGACTGGCCTGCTCCAGAGCCCTGTATAAATCTTGCAATGAGTCTCCTAACTTTTCTTCCCTAGTTTCACCTGTAATGTCCACAAAATAGAAAAAGAGCATTGGGAGAGGGAGAGAGAAAGGGAGAGGGGTGGGGAAGGGGGAGGGGAGAGGGGAGAAGGGGAGAGAGAGTGATGAATCCCATGTAATAAAGTTACTTGAATAAAGTTGTTACTTGGTACTCTGAAAGCTCTTCTAAAAATTCAAAGTATATGCAAATTGCAGTAATGAAAGATTGGGAAAGGACTATATAATTACCTATGGGCATATAATTACTTTAAAATGATCAAATAATATGATTCTTTGATTAAACAAATACTGTCTTGATAGCAAATAAATGTACATATCTTGACTCCATTAAACTCAAAGAATTAGAGTACAGAAGGTACCCATGGAAACATGCCTGCACATATTCATTATTTAAAGGCATTAATGACTGTAACTTATCATTATACTGGTAAGCACAGAAGTGCTAGTTAATAGCACTCTTTTGGTTTATCAATACAAAATTAATTTTCACATTTTTTCCAGACTTTATAAGATGAAATGGCATTCAGTGGCATATATCTGATTATAAAAATTTTCCAGTTGTTTTTCACGTGCCTGCCATAGTAATGGCAGGCACAATGTAAATATAGTAACTGATCATACATTGTCATTGATAATTATGTCTAATTAATTTTAATTATAAAAATCTTCTAGTTGCTTCATTGATTCGTTATGTGACTGTCACAGTAATGCACGCTGTAAATATAGTGACTGATGATAGATCATCAATGTCTTAATTAAAATGAAATATAGGAATATATTTATATGTAACAAAAAGGAAAAAAAAATCTAGCATACACTAAGAGAAGCTACCTAGCATTTGCAAGACCTGGGAAGGAAGTACTCCATTGAAATACTTTTTAAAAATATTAGACACTGGTTTAAGTAGGGATCTTAGGCCTAGCTGAATGAATTTATATTTTGTCTTTAATTGCCTGGATACTGATACTACATCAATGAGTGGCATATCAATTTGTTTTATGATATGACAGAGATAAACTAGGGCTTAGCTCAGCATGGTAGGACCATATGATGTAACTTTTAATAGAAAGCCAGAGTAGTCATATATGAGGAACATTTATTACATTGGCCCAATGAATACATACAGAATTTTATTAACTCTACCATGGTCCTTCTGAAATTTTTAGGCTTTCTGATACAGTTCCAAGAAAAGGTACCTTGTTAAAAATACTAGTTAAGGGCCGGGGAGATGGCTCAGTAGAATAAGTTCTTGCCTGGCAAGTGCAAGGGTCTGAGTTCAAGCCCTGGTTCCACCAAAAAAAAAAAATCTAGTTAACATTTATATGTGCTAGGCATTAAGATAAATGCTTAATATTTGCAATCTCCTTTAATCTTCATGAAAACACTAGAGTTATTTGATCTTCATTTTATAGCTGGGAAGCACCTGGTTTAAGGTCATGTTCATAAATGCTGGAACTACAATTCTAAATCCCTTGTCTGGCCCCAGGGGAAAAAAAATTAACAAGAATTCTATTCTGCCAATGTTTCAAGAAACATTTCAACTCTGTGTTTAACAATTGGTCCTAATTAGTGGGGGACTCCCTGAATGCAGCATTTAAGTATTTTTAAAGAATATACCTCAAGTTGCTCCCAAAGCCCAAAACACAAATACTTTAATTTTTTTTTCTTTTTTTTGAGGAACCAGGGATTGAACTCAGGCCCTTGCACTTGCCAGGGAAGCGCTTATTCCATTGAGCTATCTCCACAGCCATAAATACTTTAATTTGAAGGGATCAACTTTAGAATCAAAAAGTAGTAGTTAACTTTTTGCTCTGTAGCTGAGATTGGCAACTAATGGTAGGTATGAATGAGTTCTTCCATTAGAAAATTCCTTGTTGTTTATGAACACATGCTATCACTAAGTTGTGTTTAATAGACATCAACTTCTTAACCATATATTTAAATTTGAATTATAATCTAAAAATCAAAAATTCTCCTTAACCTATAGCCTGTTAAATTATCATCTTTTGGCTCACTCTTCAGTGTCTGCCACAGCTATAGGATTTTGATGGACAGAGGACCATACAAAGGAGATATTGCTTTATGAGTTAAAAGCAAGATAGAAACAAGATCGATCATTTTCATTAAGAATGCTTTGGGATGCGGAAGCCACAAAATCATCGTGGTGACTTGAGAGAACTAAATGGAGTTGTGAAAACAAGGATACATTCGCACAGCATGATATTTCATAAAGCCATTGGCTAGAAAAAGAGCCTAAGGGCTTATTTAGTAGAATCATTCTTTTTGCATCAAAGCAAGACTGCACTTAAAGACAAAAGCAATTTCATAGAGTAGAAGATGTGATAGAAATGGGAAGCCTAATAGATGAGAAGCATAGTAGTTAACATAACAGGTTACCTAATGTATTATTAGTTTTTTTTAGTTCTGGAAAGAAGGTAAGTGACAAAGGGATTCAGATTATAGTTTGATGATTTAAGGGAAGCAAAAGTATTTTTGTACAGCAAAAAAGAAAGCATTTTTGCCTACTACCTAACACTGTTGGGAGTATATGTTTTCTTTAAAAACACATTTTTGAAACCCTTTTCTTTTCCCTAACTTTTAACATTGTGAAATATTGGGGCAGATTGACTTTTATGTAATTTAAATGTACTTTTACTTTTAAGAAGGGTAAGTGAAAATTACATAAAAACGACATATACTTGTGTTTAAAATAACTGAAAGGCTTTTCCTTCATTCTTGATGTTATAATAAAACATATTCAGCCAAAAGACAACATAATTCTACAAAGAATCTGGTTTGATTGTTGTAAGAATTGAGTATGTATTATCTCTGGGCATCACATTTGAACAAGGAATCACAGAGACTAAACACAGATACATTTCTAAGGTAATGGGATAGTGGCTCTTATCAGAGATTAGAAAGCCCCCCTCAGTCCCCTTCGGACCATACACATATGCAACACTACACGAGACACAGTAGTGGGATGGGTAAGGATGAGGGACTGAGATGCTGAGATGCCAGGCCATCACAAATGCTACCAATTATTTAACATTTCAGGACTAAACAAAGAGTCCTTTTGTTTTCAAAGGAGGGGGTGAAGGGCAGAGTCACATTATAAATCTGATTCATTGTGCTCAACAGTCAAAACAACACAGAACTCAACATTCAAGACAAAAACAGACCTTTATTTTATTTTATAATTTTCAATTGGTTTCCTTGATTTTTCTCAGATGAATACCAAGTAAGTCAATTGGGGCTACTGTTGCAATTGAAAATATGAAAGCACCTTTATGTTCTTCTCCTTTTGCCCTCTTCTTCTTCATCTCCTTTTCAATTCTCTTCAGGCTTCTCTCTCTTTTCAGCCCTTGCTTTTCTTCTTTTAGAAGTGGCTTGCTTTGGAAGACGAGGCAAGCATTTGGTGAGGTCTGCTTCCCGACTGACTTTCTTTCAATGTGCCAGTTCAGCCACTGGAACACTGGCTGAAAATCAGCTCTTTTACAATTTGAATGAATGTTTTCTGAAAGTTGGCAAAGTGCAGACTACATTCAAATGACAAGACATATATAGGAACCTTCTGTGATTCCTAATGAGGAAGTGTATCACTGCTGTAATGGTATTTTAATCTGTATCTAATTTATTCAGGAAATCTGGGCCTATGTAGGAATAAATTTTCCCCCAAATTATATTCACATTTATAACATGTAAATTAGTCCTGCGTCAGATCACATATTTTTATTCTGGTTTTGTTAAAGCAAAGAGTGCATATAAAGTCCCCTTTCTTGTATAAACTCTTACTAACTGATAGAATTGAGGACCACAATTAAGTAATTAACTTGTATTCTGTCCAAAGGGAGGGTAGTTTCTTGCTGTGTTATACTTAATAAGGGTGCAAGAAAATCCTCTTTCATTTATATTGTGTCCAATTATAAAATATTATAAATCTAGGAATACAGATTCATAGCACAACAATTTATTGTTTGGTTTCTATAGGTTGTTTACAATTTCCAGGTAGTAAATGATAAAGAAAAGCTTAAAGAAAAGATCATGTAATGAAATACACTAGGTCGTTGTGACATCTTGCACAGTGCTTATGAGGGGACAATAATGTACTTCTCAAATAAGATAAAGTCTTTGTTTGACATATTTCTCTACATTCAGGCTCAGTAGTTTCCAAAGTTTTTCTTGCTTGTGTACCTTTATCAGTTAAAGTGCTTCTGCCATTGGTAAGTTACATACATATGTTATTTTGTATTAATATATGATAAAACATATACAAAAAAGAAATTCAAAAAGGTGGTATATAAAACCAGGGAGAAAATTCCAATGATTTTCCTCCTGTACACTTTTCCTGTTACACCCTGTGTTTTCTCCTTCAGAGACCTATGCTGTGTGACTTTCCTATGAGTGGAATTTGTGTCATGCATGTTTATATCACCCGTTCTTTACTTGGCATAATGCCCCATGCACTGAACAAATTCGAGTGTTAATTTTCTCTACATATAGACTACTCTAAAGATGGTTCCCTACTGGGTGACTGTGCAATTATTATGGTCTATCCTGTTACAATGTTCATATATTTTTGGTAAGAACAAAAACTTGGAGGCTTAGAAATTTGTTCTGGTGTCCTCCTTTGCCCCTGTGATGGCAACTGTTGAAGGAGAATAAAACCAGTGAATACTGTATACCAACTGGACTCTTGAAGAACTAAACCAACAATGGGTAATGGGTTCTGGTACATGTTTTGGAAGGGAATTGTACTCTTTTAAAATTGAACAAATGATGTGCTCGTGGAAACAGTTGTTTGTTCCACAACACAGCTGTGTGATGAGCACAGATGGTTGGAAAAGGTTAAATCACAGAGAGAAGGCTGGGGTATTAGTCATCAGTCAAATCTGAGAGGCATTGGTTCTCATATAACCACAGAGTACTTTAAGTCTTCCAGGCTAATGATATCAAGTATGTGGAACATTATTCTTGTCACAAAGGGCAATCAACATTTGCA